GTTTTTTTAAATACTGGACTGCAAATGAGATCTGGTTCAAGTCTTGGTTCTGTAACTTTGACTAAGTGCGTGATATGGCATCATTTCTCTAAGCCTAGTACCTCGTTTGCAAAATAATGACAACTTAACTATGTAATGTAGTCCCATGATCTAATTTTAGAAACCCTCTAAGGATCATTCTAGTTTCCCAGATCTTAGCATTATCCAAGTTTTCACTGTGCTAATTACTTGTTTCTGGCAAATAAGCAGACTACACAGGTCAGGTAGCTGAGACTAGAAAGGTCTAAAACAACAGTGTCAATAGATATACAATGCAAGCCATAATGCAAACCATATGAGTAATGTTAAATTTTCCATAGACAGGAAAAAATTTTAAAGAAACATGGCCATTGATTTTAATAAATTTTATGTAACTCATTATATCAAAATATTATTTCTTGTAATCAGTATTTTGAAATCGAGATTTTTACTTTTTAAAAATTATCTTCAGGTTTCAGCATGCATGCTACATTTGCAGCACATCTCAATTATGACTAGTCATAATATTTCAGGTGCTCAACAGCTACATATGACTGGTGGCTAACACACTAGACAGTTCAGGTGTAGATGTGGAGGTAAAGGGCATGGGGATGGGAGACAATGGCAAGCAAGGGCCAAGGTGTCTCAGAATGCGTAATCTGCCTTTTATATATACACACAGAAACTATTATGGTGGTGCTGGTACAATGTCTGCCCTGTTACATGGCAAGGACATAGAGCAGAGAAAGTTTGTTCTTTGAAATAAATATCCATCTCTACACTATGGGTAGCATCTAAAAAATAAGGTAAATGCTTATGTATCATTTCAAAATAAATGCATTAATAAGTATTTATTTCTATGAAAGTCACTGTCAAAAGGCTCCTTTGGGCAAAAAATGTAAGCATCCATAGGAATAAGAATAAAAACTACATGTAATAAATAAATCAAATAATTAAATCCACAAGCTCACAATGACATCTTAAAATCTTCATTGGTCTACTCTTCCAGGATTCTGGGAAACTCAGTACTTTGAAAATTAGTAAATAAGGAAAGAAACGAGTATTTAGTATGCCTTTCCTGTGCTAACCAAACCACAGGGTAACTGAGTATCTGATGAGAGAAGTTTCTCTTTGTTGAAGTATTACAGATAATAAAGACTTGATACAATTAGGATGTCAACATTCTGTACACTCATGGAAATAATGGATCAAAGCAATGATCAGCAGTGGCCACACAATATAACAATAGGGGAAGCCTAATATTATGTGCTTCTTCATAGAATGCCACATAACTCCCCTCCAAATAAAGAAAAAAACCTATAACAGATTTAGCTTTTAGATTAACTACCAATTTACCAAAATATACAAGGGAAAGAGAGGCATTTTACTATAGGAATGCAATTAATAAAATAGAGAATGAGGAAATTTTACAGGGTTTTCCCTAAAAAAAAAAAATAATTAATAAAGAGCTAAAAGCATAAGCTGTACATTCCAACCAAATGTAATACATGGATTTTGTTGTGATTTTACAAAAACATTATTTATGAGCAGATGAGGAAATAAACTAAATGGATATATGGTGATATTAAGAAATTACTGTCATCACACCTCACACTTATTAGGAGGCCCACTATCCAAAAAAAAAAAAACCAAAAAACACAGAAAATAGCAAGTATTACAAGAACATAGAGAAATCAGAACTCTATTGTTGGGAATATAAAATGGTGCAGTCACTTTGGAAAACAATATGGAGGTACCTCAAAAAATTAAAACTAGAATTATCACATGATACAGCAATCTCACCTCTAGGTATATAGCCAGAAAGACTGGAAAGCAGGATCTCAGAGAGATATATGCACACCCATGTTCATCTCAGCATTATTCACTTAGTCAAAGGTACAAGCAACTCAAATGTTCAATGACGATGAATAAAGGAAATATAATACACACACACAATGGAGTATGATTCAGCCTTTAAAAAGAGGAAAATCCTGTCACATGCTATTACATACATGAACCTAGATGATATTATGCTAAGTTAAGTAAGCCAGTTACAGAAATACTGTACTTATAAGGTAGTTAAAGTAGTCAAACTCATGAAAACAAAGTAAACTGGTTTTTGCTAATGGCTGGGGAAGAGATACTGGAAGCTGCAAGTGGTACAGCACTTCAGTTTTGCAAGATGAAAAAATTCCAGAGATCTGTTGTACAATAATTTGAAAACAGTTGACACTACATACTTAAAATTGTTAAGATACATTTTATGTTTTTACTACAATTTTTAAAAGTATGATAACGGTATTAGGATATATATTTTTAAATAGTCTGTCTCTTCCATAGATATACTAAAATATTTATGAATGAAACCATGTGATATAAGTGTTGGCTTCAAAATAATCAGGTGTGTGGGGGGTAATAAATGGTAACAAGATGGTTAAATGACACAAAACTGGTGACTACTGCAGCTCGCTGAAAGTTTATTGTGCTATTCTCTCTAGCATATGTTTAAAATTTTTCACAATAAAAAGTTGCAACAATACACACCTAGCCCAGCCATTGTGGCTCAGTGGATTGTGCACTGTCCTATGGACTGAGAGGTCCTGGTTCGATTCCCAGTCAGGGTTTTTAGCTCGATCCCCAGTAGGGGGCGTGCAGGAGGTAGCTGATCCATGTTTCTTTCTCACATCGACATTTCCATCTCTCTCCCTTCCCCTCTCTCTCTCTAAAAAAATCAGTAAAAATATATTTTAAAAAACACATCTATTGGCCAATGGGTTCTATTAATGCAATAAGATGATTATAGAAAGTAGTATAAAATATTTATATAGGAAAGTAGCTGTAAATCGTGATGATTTAAGGTACAATTAGAGTTAAAATAACTTGTACCTAGGCAAGTGAAGAGAGACGAAAATGAATGTTATGAATCCCTCATGGTTATTATATCAAGAACAAAGTTGAGGGAGAGAGTGGGGGTAGTAGTTAACGGTTCTCACAAAGCATTCCTTTATGGCATGTTCAGAGAGAAAAAAGAAGATGAGATACTCCACAGAACAGGCATAACCCTGAACACTATTTTTTGAAACACAGGCATTTCTCAGGGCCATAGGAAAACCACCATTCTGGACCAATATTTATAAGTTTACAAGCATTACATGCAAATGTGTAGAAATGGCTTTTGTGTTCTCAGCCAGACGATAAGCAAGTTTGTTGTGATCTGGTCCTTCATCTCTAATACACACACATATGTAGAACACTAACATAAATAAACACACATTTCTGTGATCGTGACTTAAAGATGATTTTCATGGATTTTCAACAGAACTGGCAAATGTGAGATGATCTGAATTAAAATACAGTACGAGTTGTTCCAAAAACACAACAGAACAACATACAGCCTATGAGCAGCATATTTAAAACTTCACTTGAGGACAGGCACTTAGAAGAGACAGCCGTTGCATGGCACCTGCATCTCAGACACCAATCGCCTGTGCAACTGATTCTCAGGGGAGAAATGTCACAAGTAATTAAGACTCAACAACCTAGTAAACTAACAGGTTTCAAATGTAAACTTCAAACAAAAATGCCAAGGGCAGATACTCCAAAATGCCAAAGATGATTTACCATGGAGAAGCTGCTTACAATAGAAGCTCTGTAGTGCTCCAGAGGAAGTAGCAGATTTAATGATGGTTAATGAGTCACCCAACCACTCCTAAGAACCCAGCAAGTGCTTAATAAATTAATAAAGAATCATGTAGTCCTTCAAGTTTGGTAAAGACAGAAAAAAACTCTCTTTTATGCAACATTCTCCATTAACTACTGGGAGAAGGGAAAAGAGGGAAGGAGGGAGACAGGACATAGTAGGAGAGAGAAGTCATTTTTAAGAATCCAAAAGATCTTTTAGACAAAGGAAATCCTCCTCTTATCAATATACTGACAAATCCATCTTTAAAATGAATAATCTAGGAATATTTTCACAGATATCTAGTTAATCGTAAGTTTTCATTTCATATTGATGCATCTACCATTCCCCACAAAACTCTATAAACCTTTATCAGCTCCTATAACTCCCTAATTTAATGCTTAAAGTAAAAATTTAATTAACAGTAATTAAAATTTTTTATGTTGCACTATTTTGAAATATAAGATATTAATTAATTCTAAAAAAGAAAAATAAAAATTAATTATCCTGCTATTTATTGATCACCAAAATACACAATACCATTTAGGTATGGAATTACTTTTTGTAAGGGAATCATACTGAATTCTAATAGTGATGAGATCACTCTGTCTACAGCTAGAGTTAAACTTTAGAAATTTACTCCAATTCTATTATCAAATTTTATAAGAGTACTTGACTAAAGTCCTCTAAGACACAAACAAGAAAGAAACCAAATCCCAACTCCTACAGAGTCCAGTGGTACTTCTACTGTATGATACAGTTGATGGGTTTTTATTCCACAGAGAAAGACTTCTAAATGATATTTTTAAATAGATAAAAATGGTTCTCCTATAAAAACAGGTAGAATTTCAGTCATTTTAAGTCCCCATTAATTGTAAATATTAGGATAAATACAATGTGCAAAAACTTGAGCTATAAGATGATAGACAAAAATATGAGCTATTAACTGCCATTATTACTTAAATTTAACATGAAAATTCTATTCACAAAATAGTCTACTGGTTAAAATACAGCATTATTACTACATAATACTTTTCATCCTGATAAGCATAACCAAGAGGTTATTACACCTATCTTCAAAGTCTGCCTTTTTATTTTTTTATACTAAGCAATCAAAAAATATTTTAAGTACCTTAAATGACATATTTGGAAAAAAAAAAACACATTTCTTTAGTTTAGGAACACATGTATGTGTGAGATTGTGAGAAACTTTCAAAATCTTTAATAGATTCCTAAAAAAATCAATGAATACTAAACAAAGCAATTAAAACGCACTAACATTCAGAGTGGGAGGAGTTCTTACCATTGGCAGTGCATTGATGTAGGGATGGACAACTGAATATCCGGTACCGCCAATCACAAGATGCTGTTTGCTGACACTGAGAAAAAGGAAAGTAATATATTCAGTGCACCCTAAAACAAATTCAGTTTAAAAGATTCCTCATGTCAAATTCTACATGTACGAAATAGTCTTCATTTATGTCTTTAAGATCTCTACCAGTGACTTATCTTTCCCCCCCTAACCGATCGCTAACATAAACAGTAGCAACAACTTCTGACTGCATTAACAGAAGGCAGGCACTGAACCTTCACAACACCCCTAAAATCATGACCAATGAACAAAATGAGACTCAAGAGATGAATCTGCACAAACTGACCCATGCACCAAGAAGTTGCCAGTTCAAGTCCTAGTCAGGGCACATGCCCAGGTTGTGGGCCAAATCCCCAGAGGGGGGCGTGCAGGAAGCGGCCAATCAATGTTCTCTCTCTCCCTCTCCATTCCTCTTTCTAAAAATCAATAAAGGGAAAAAAAAAAAAGAGAGAGAGAAAAATACATTATTGGTTTTGAAACCATTTCAATGAAAACTTATTAAACTTTGCCCTGGCCAGTTTATCTCAGTGGTTAGAGTGTTGACCTGCGGCCCAGAGAGTCGCAGGTTCAATTCCAGTCAAGGGCATGTGCCACAGTTGTGGTTCGTCCTGGCCCTGAGGCAACTAGGTGATGTGTCCCTCTCACATCGATGTTTCTCTCCCTCTCTCTCCCTCTCTCCCCCTCTCTCTGAAGATAAATAGAAAAATATCCTTGTGTGAGGATTAAAACAAAAAAATCTTATTAAACTTTAATCTCTTCAGTTTATATTTTATAGAGTATACACAGTCATCTCGATTGCTAAGCCACAGCACATTATCTTCCATGAACCTTTTTTGTAAATATACAAATGGTTTTCATACACCCTGAGTGGTGACTCTGGGGAGACACTGACCAGTGCAGGTTCCATCCTATGCTAGAGCAGAGTACAATTTTCTGTAAGAGTACAAGCTGGTGGCACAGAAAGGAATGCAGGAGCTTTATCTCATACACCCAACAGGTAAATCAAGTCAGTTAACACCAAACGAAAGAACTGAGTAAATACACTGAATAACTCAAAGAATGTAATCCCTTGAAGTCTGCTCCCCTCAGACTTTATCTTTAATGGACTGGAACTCTTATTTGTGCTGATTGCCTCCCTTCCACTCTCTCTAAAACGGAAAAAATATGCTCCGGTGAAGATAAACAAAGAAAGAAAAACACACACACACACAGAGGCATATAATCACATTATAAAATCAGCATAAAACTAGGAACTACTTTGTTCTACATACACTAGACCTGTAATGAAATGAATGTTTGTAGGTTTTGGTTTTACTTCTAAGCAAAAAGCTGTGCTTTTAAAATCTACATTTCAGAACATTTTACCTAAAAGAAAAAAATTAATTTTAGAAAAGGCTTTCAGCACAGAAACAGACACTGTCGACTCATCTTCCAAAATCTAGCACCTACACATAATTAAGATTTTTAATATGCAAAAATCCTATAAAGTAGTTCAACAGTATATTTTGACTGATCTTCAAACATACTATACTCTATAAAGACTTTGGGTGTAAATTTATTTGATTTGTAGATCTTTTTGAAAAGCTAATGGATTACAGGCCCTTTCCCTAAGAAAAGGTATAAACTGACAGTTGCTTATAATTTAAAATTGTGGCATAATCTAATCTAGAACCTAGTGGCCAGTAGCAAATTCAAGAAAGTGTCCTTGGTATCATTTAGAAATAAAAGATACAAATAAATTATTTAAATTTGGGGAAATCATCCCAAGAATTAAAAGAAAAACATAATGATTACTGTCATAGCTAATTTGTTTAGAAAGATTTATTATTACATAAACTTCTGGGCAAAATAAAAGTCACAGATAAAGTTCCAATTCAACTGCATATCACATGATTGAAAATGCAATAAACAAAGAGATTTTTACCTTCAACTAAAAAAATATATATTTTTTATTTTTTTTATTAATTTTTGTTACAGATGTTTCTCCTTTTCCCCCCACTGATTCCTCCCTCCCCAAAAACATATATATATTTGTAAATTAAGGTTTCAACTGAATCTTCTCAAGTCCACTGATCCATTTCACAAAAGTCTTTTAATTGCCTTCTTCAACATGACAATCTCTAATATACTATGCATTCATCAAAGCCTCTAAAGCAGTGGTTCTCAACCTTCCTTCTAATGCCATGACCCTTTAATATAATTCCTCATGTTATGATGTCTCTCTCCTCTCTCCCCTCTCCCCCTCTCCCCTCTCTCTCTGACAGCCCATGGTACTTTGGGAGGCCCTGGCCAGTTTTGCTCAGGGGTTAGAGCGTTGGTCCAAGAACCAGAGTCTCGGTTTCGATTCCGGTCAAGGGCACGTACCTTCTTGGTTTCAGTTCAGTTCAGTCCCAGGTCCTGGGTGGGTTCGTGCAGGAGGCAACCAATTGACATGTGTCTCTCACAATGGTGTTTCTCCCCCAACACCATCCCCATCTAAAAATAAATGGAAAAATATCCCCGGGAGGGGGAGGATTTACAAAAAGAAAAACAGTAGTTTGGGAGAAAGAAACAAGTAAAGGGGTGACGGGAGGCAGTAGGAATAGCATAAGGATGCATGAAATGAGATTAAAAATCAAGCTTTGCCTTCTCCAAAATTGCTTAATACAACATAGGCAATACCTTGGCACTTAGCAAGTTAAAAAAACAAAAAACAAAAAAACTGACATAATTCTTAGCTCTTTTTGGGTTTCTCACTCTTCCCAGGGGCTAAACATCTGAATCAAGATATTAGCTATTCAAGAATAGCTAATTAAGCTAGGACAACACAAAAACTATTCTGCTGAACAATACACTCCCAGCAGAAAGAAAACAGCTCTCTCAGGGACGCTGGGTCTCTGGTTCCAGACTCTAACCTAACTGTGACATACTGGGTCCCTGACTCCAATGAAATTGGTCTAGGGTAGAATCTGCACATCAGTTGCATTCTCAAGCTTCCCCATGTGATTCCAATGAAAGTTGAGACTCACTGGAATATGCCGTAGGAAAGGGAAGAATGGGGCGATTTTACTAGTCAGACTCTATTATTAACCTATTAGGGTGATGAGGCCCAAAAGGATCACTTCCTTCAAGTATTAGCATTGCAAAGTGAGTGGGAGTGTTCTCAGAACGAGAGTGGGAAACATACTATGTTGAGTAAATTAAATATTTTATTAATTTGATTTTAAGATTAACAATAAGAAACAAAAGATAAACTCAATCCCCTTCCCCAAAAATGAATTAGAAAAGGATGAACAGTAATAATGAGGACTTCTGAGACAGTAAGAGACCCAGTAAGACCACAGAACAGGGGAGTTACCATAATAAAAGAACACAAAGGAACATTGCTGGTACCTACATAAAGACCAAATGAGAATGAACTATGTGTGACAAAAGTGTAAGTAGTAGGTAGAAATTACAGGGAGATAGTTTTTTCTTCTCAATATAATGAAAAACTGTTACACAAATCAATGGAAATGTTCAAACAAAACCAAGATCTATCATTTGGTAAGACAGTTATTATCGTGATATATATGGGGCTGTATTTGTGCCCTGTCTGATTCCTTCCAACTCGGCATTCTAATGTGCTATCACAGTAGGGCCACCAATAGCATCTATGGCAGCTTTGTGCAAAGTAGACTCCAGCAGGACAAATCAGAAAAAAAGCAAAGCCATGTTTCAGTACAGAGGTTCAGAGCCTGATCTGTGGAGCCTCACAGCTGGATTTCACTCCCAACCAAGGCCTAAGACTAGCGTTACTTCACCTCCTGGTGCCTTAGTTCTTTCATCAATAAAATAAATTATGAGAGTTGAATAACAGTATTTATAAAGTGCTAAACAATGCCTGGCATAGTATTCAAAGGCAATCATTTTCAAATAATGCACAGACGTGAAAAGGGGCCCTTTCCTCTGTGAAGACACAGTCCTGTCCGAGGGAAGCGGCCGGGCTGACAGTGTGGCTGGATGTCAGCACCCACTTGTCTCTTTGGCTGTGCACTTCTGTGCCAGACACAAACTGCCCGTTCACCGTCTGCTGTGCTGTGTGTCCCGGTCACTGTAGTGTCATTTTATTTATTCTTTTGTGAGTTAACATAATAGCACAACTACTCAAAGAAAAGAGTAATCGACACTACTTTTAAACTATAACAATTTGGGACCGTGTCCGAACACAGTAGTGTAACCACACAGAGTGACAATGCACACACCTGGTCTCTCACTGAAGCAGAGTCTGTCAATCACGCTTGAAAAAATTGTCTTCAACTTTAACTTTGTAATAAAAAGGAGTAAGTTTCCTAACTTTTTTAAAACTAAAAACATGCCAGCAGATGATTAATAAAATGAAAATTGTCATTCAGAAGTACTTTAGACACAAAAAGAAAAAATATTTATATTAAGCTAAGTGCAGGGTCCAAAATTTTAAAATGTTATTATTTCTATCTACTACTGAAAGATTCAAAAGAGTAATCCTTATGTGTCTTTAAAGAGAGTATTTATTTCTTTACAGATTTTCACATGAAAAACCTAAAAACTGGTTGCTCTGACTTCATATTTCTACAATTGATGTAATCTAGACAGTATAAAAAAATGCTTTACCTTCAGTAAGTTAAAACAAATTGCTCACTTAACTATCATGTTTAAAGTGGCTGTCAGAAATACCCATTCTTTAAAGAAATCAAGGACAGCACAATTTATTCTAAGTATACTAGAAAACATACAACATATTCATAATTATAAAAAGATGCCAAATTCTCACCTGATGTTGATTTGCCAAATTGTTTCCAATTCAGCTTTTCCACCAAATTAAAAATGAAATATTTAAACCAGCAAATACAAGCTGTGTGGTCTCCCTGAGACACTCAGGACACACAAGCACAGGGGGATAGAGGCTCATGCTCACCTCCTTCCCCGTTTTCAGGGGTCATGAAAAGAAAAAAGACAACCTTTTTAGGTAATTATTTACCTCAATACAAAAACACTCCTTTTCTCCATGCCACCACCCAAATTATAATAAAGCACTGACTGAGACCAGATGAACAAAACTGCTCCATCCCACTTTTCAGCCATGGCTATGCAATGATCTACGGGTTCACAAACTATGGCCAGAAAGTATTTTCTGTCTTGCAGGCTACCTGGTCTATCACTGGTATACAACTCTGATATTATGGTGCAAAGCAGCCAGAGACAATACATAAATGAATGGGCGCTACTGTTTCCAATAAAACTTGATCCACAGCCCTGGCCAGTTTGGCTCAGTGGTTAGAGCGTCAGCCTGCGGTCCAGAGAGAACCGGGTTTGGTTCCCGCTAAGGGCATGTACCTCAGTTGCAGTTTGTCCCCGGCCCCTGGTTGGGTCATGCGGGAGGCAGCCACCTGATGTGTCCCTTTCACATCAATGTTTCTCTCTCTCTCTCTGTCTCTTCCTCTCTCACCCTCCCACTCTATCTGAACAAAAAATGGAAAAATGTCCTCGGATGAGGATTAAAAAAAAAAAAAACTTTATGCATTAACACACAAAAGGGCAACAGGCAATATTTTGTTGGCCATGAAGTAATTCCCAAGGCCACCCAAACTTCTATAGATCCAGGATGAAGCTTTTAGGTTAAATGAGGTAAAGATTTTTTTTAAGTAACATCAAGTAAAAAAAATTATTCAAGTATTCTCTACTAAAACTATATAACCATTATATGGAAAGAAAATTTTCTAAAGCATTCAAATTTATTATCTTATGTGGCACTATGTATAATAATGAGGTTCGATCAAAAAAGAATATTAAAACTTCAATATTTCTCTGCCATCTTCAGAACCTAGATTCTTCTTCAGGAGGCCAGGGAGTAATGTAATTTAAAGCCTATGTTTATCTTGAAGCCAGGTTCTATAGTAGGGTTTTTCTTTTTTTCTTTAACTGACTGTAAGATTTATCCTGCAATAAACAGAACTGTGGAGAGGAAGAAGCGAAGGAAAAAAAGGTTTAATTAACCTCTCTATTAAACATTGTTAATATTAAAAGTTTATCAACAACAGAACAAAATTTACTAAAATATATAAGTAAAAAGAGTTTGAACTCCAGCAGAATTCAGTATTAGGAGGAGTTAGTGCCTCCAGGCTGCAGTGATGTAAAATGCTCAGAACTGGTTTGCATTTCAAATGAGAGCTGGCAAGATGTCAGGAAACTAGTGTATATTCTATGTGCTGTGTGCAGGCAACTGTGGATGAAGGTGTGCCTGATGTTGATGTTGTCATCTTAGTGTTGGAAACCATTCCCAGAACACCCACATTTACAAAATAGGTCATTTATGTTTCAATTCAACATCTCTGAAATATCTGTTCTTGCCTATATCCTGTATTTCCTATACATTATAAAGCTATAATCCCTAGGATAGATATCAAACATTATAAATGACAGGCTTATTTATATATTTAGCCTGTACTTTTATGGAGATCATCAGAAAAGTTATCAGTGTGAAAGAGAAGATATGCTAAATAAGAGAAACTTCCATAAATGTTGCCCAGACTTTTCATACAAGCATTCTTACAAAGTTAACATCAAAAAGCTTTCAACTTTTTCAAGATACATGATACTGAAAAACAAAAATACCACTGAAATGAAATGTCTGGTCATTTAAGTCATACTAAGTGTAGACAACAGATTCAGTGTTTAAATATACAGCAAATGCTTATACTGTGCCTAGTACTACATACGTTTATTTACCTACTGTTACTACCTTAAAATACTTAGGTAAAAATAACAAAACCCAAAAGTGGACAGAGATCAATACTTCTTCAAATGCTTAAGAACCTCTGGTCTTCTCTGTTTCTTTTTTCCCCTGTGTTCAATAATCTCTAGTAGAGCAAACATAAACAGGAGAAAAGTGGAACTAGTTTGTGAAAATGCACTAAGCTGGAACAATATCATGAAAAAAAATTTATTTTTTTAATCCTCACCAGAGAATATTTCTCCACTGATTTTCAGATTGGGGGGGGGGGGCATCGATATGATAGAGACACACATCGATTGGTTGCCACCCACACGACCCTGACCAGGGCCAGAAATCAAACCGCAACTGAGGCATGAGCCCTTGACTGGAATGAAACCCAAGACTCTTTGGTCTGCAGGCCAACATATTAACCACTGAGCCAAACCATTCAGGGCTAAAAAAAATTTTCAACACCTTCTATTATAAATTCCTGGAAAAAATAATAATAGCATCTTTATAAATTGTAGCTTCTATCATACCTAAAACATAATTCTGGATTCCAATGAGCACTAATGAGATTGACAGAGGAATTTTTGAAGATAGGGGAGTTGCAACAAAATCTTACCTCTTCCTTCTAAGAGGGGAAATAACATGGAAATATCTTTCCCACAAAGAAGATGAAAATGTATTGTGATTGTTCACTGGCCTCTCCAGCTCAAGTCTTGGTTAATCGATCAGATGAAAAGACTATTACTTTGATGAGTCAGACTCAACTAGGAGGAACTCACAAAAATCTAAGTAGGTCACACCTGTAACCTGTTTACTCTGAAGAATGTAGGACAGGAAGGATATCAAGGTAGTTAGTATCAGGCCAGACAGGTCAATAGAACATGCAACCCAGCAGTCTTTGTACACCTCTCTCCTGCCACCTCGTGATTACTCAGGTACAATTGGGCAAGAACCCACAGAAGGGTGCAGAAGCTACCCTAGCTCAGAATCCCCAAACTCCACAGAGGAAATGAACTAATATCATTTTATGAGTCTCACGTGTGTAGCTTCCAGGGGACCCAACCCCCATCAAGAGATATGCTCAGTTATAAGAATGCCCCAAACCTTCCCACCAGGTGTTCATTCCCACTCAGATGCAGTTCACAAGTTAAGGACCACTTTGCCATGCCCCATGTTGGCTAGTAATATTGCTTATATTCCACCTTTATGTTTCAAATGAACCACAGCTAAAAATTAAACCAAGGTCATTTAACCATATAAGGAGAAAAGGTTTGCTAAACCCTTTCCTCAAAACAGACCTGGGCCTTCATCCTACTCTGCCTCTAGGATGCCAGGGTCTTGGGCCTATTATTTAGGCGTCTATGGAACTGGTTCATCCCCTGTAAGCAGTGACTAAGTATGACTGGGTTGATCTCTTATATCCTTCGAAGCTTTTTAAAAAATAAAAACTAGGCTCACAAAAAAATAGGCACTCAAAGGAAAGAAGAAAATATCTATCTTCTAAAAAATAAGGCAACATAGACATAAAACCAAACTAAGAAAATAATATCTTAAAGTAGCATAGAAAACCTGTTTCGATGATCTGAAGGTTAAATAAATTAAAAAACAAAAAGTCAAGTTCATAAAGAAATTGAGTCCCAGGTTAAATATTCTTACCGGAAGTAATGAAATAATTTTTGACCTCTGCATTGCTTGTGCACTTGGTATCATTTAAATTTCACAACAAGTTTGTACAGCAGGCATTATTGTCTCTGTTTCAAAAACAGGTTAACTAAGGCTTAGAGAAGTGGTCATTAGGTGCCAGGTTAAATTCTTAACCACTCTCCTCCTCTAGGTCTTCTGTGCCTCTCTTCAAAGGCCTTATTTCCAAAAAGAGTTTTCTTATTCTAACATGATCAAGAATTTTTAATGCAAATATCATTTTACTTAGGAGAAAAAGATTTATATCTGTAGTCTCTTACTGCAAAGGTAAGATGGAGTCAGTACAGTAAGGATTGTGGGCAGCCCCAGAGGACAGTTTAAGTCTACCAACCAATAAATACTACGTTTTTGCTACCCTCCCCTACCCAGCTTCTAAATACGTTTGACCTAGAGTGTTTCATACAACTAGTTCTTGAAGTACTATGTAGATGTAATTGTTTTCTTTAAAAAAAATTGGCTCAGCCCTGGCCGGTTTAGCTCAGCCCTGGCCGGTTTGGCTCAGCGGTTGGAGAGTCAGCCTGCGGTCCAGAGAGACCTGGGTTCGGTTCCCGCTAAGGGCATGTACCTCGGTTGCAGTTTGTCCCCGGCCCTAGTTGGTCGGGCAGGTGGCAGCCACTCGGTGTGTCCCTTTCACGTCGATGTTTCTCTCTCTCTCTCTTCCTCTCTCTCCCTCCCACTCTATCTGAACAAAAAAAAAAAAGGAAAAATGTCCTCAGGCGAGGATATAAAAAAAAAAAAAAAAAATTGGCTCAGTGTTAGAGTGTCAGCCCGCAGACCAGTGAGTCTCCAGTTTGATTCCAGCCAAGGGCACGTACCTTGGTTGCAGTTCGTCTGCATCCCCGGTTGGGGTCATGCGGGTGGCAACCAGTCAAGGTCCCACCCCACCCCCATCCCTCTCTATCTGAATATAAATAGAAAAATATCCTCAGGTGAGAATTTAAACAAAAACAAACCCTGATACATACAGAAATTAGGAACTTCATTGAATGGGAGTATGGTTAAATTTATTTAATTTGCATAATCAGTATTCATAAGAGAGCCTGAAATTTCAGAATGCATAATCCTCCTACTTTTGGAAGTTTACCAAAGTGTCAGAAGGCACAAAAGCACTACAGCCATTGCTGGAGCAACTACTTGTGCTGCTTATGGCTTAATCTTCACTACCCAAGTCAGCAGCCTAAATGTCATCCCTGACTCTTCCCTCTGTCTCCTCTGTCAGTCATATCAACCATTAAATTTTGTCAACTCTTCTTTGTAAAAAATATCAATTTACACGGGCCCCTTGTACACACTCAACACCCTTCCCCTGCAATTTTTATTAAGTCTAAAGTCCAAATTACTTGTAATATCCATGCAGCCCAAAAGTGATTATCTGAAAATCCAGCTTTCTTCTTTTTAAATTTTGAAGTGAAAGAAGCAATAGTGGGTTTCTTTGTTGGGTCACTGCTTAGTTATTCGTTTACATAACAGCTTGCCTTCTTGCTTACATAATCCCAATTTTGCTCAAAGCAACAATGTGTCCAGATAAATACTCACTTTCCCAGCCTTTCTTACAGCTAGAGGAAGA